AGCCCTGTCCCACTCACGCGTATGCTCCCTGCGCAGTGGGCTCCGGGCAGCTCCTCAGAACACCAGAGTCTTTGCAATGATTGTATCTTCAGCCAGGAATTCTCTTGGATGTCTCTGTAGAGCTGACTCCTTCTTGGCTGGCAGGCCTGTTTTAATTTTTAATTTGAAAAACACAGCACTTAATAACTGATTTAACTTAATTTTCAAGTAGATCTTATGAGTATATACTATTACAATTCCCATTTTACAGATAAGGAGACCAAAGCAGAGGACAGTTTTGTGACTTGCCCCAAATTTCACAATTAGTAAGTGAAGGAGCTAGAATTCATTCTTTCCAAACGCAGTGCCCTAAAACCCTATGCTACGCAGACCCCCCAAAGAAACCCTCCTTGACCACAGGAAGTGACGTATGTCCCCTGTCCTATTTTTCCATTACAGCTCAGTTTAGTCACTTCACAGTGAATCACTAATCCATAATCAATATTTGCTTCTGCCTTTCCTTATTTATCATGCCTCCCACATGGGAATGTATGGTCCACACAAGTGGGACGTGGTCTACTGTGTTTTCCAGTGTAGCACAGTGCCAGGCATGTGATAGGTGCTCAACAAATATTTGCTTAATTAAATAGTTAATTAATCCTGGATGTTGTCATATTATTTCTCCACCTCTGCTATTAACAAATAAAAGAAATACTGATGTAATATCTTTATCTGAATCTGTAACTCTCACTTTCCCAGCCACATAAGTCTGATTAGTTAGAAAATTTTAAATGCATAATCAATATTAAAGTTAATCGGTAACTTGACCTTTCCACCAAATAACACAAAAACCATAGAAAACTTTGTCTTTAATATTTAAAAAGTTAAAAACACAGACTCTGTATTTAACAAAAATTTAAAATATGCCCTGGAAACTCAAGAAAAAGGATGACTGCCTTTTAACACCGTTTTGCAAAACCAGGCTAGTGCAGGCAGACTCTTTGGAAGCATCTTCCATGCGCGTGCAGTTTCTCAGCCAGCCAGGGCTGTGTGGGGGGCTCTCAGCCCCTCTGTGCCTCCCAGCGCTGGGACCTGCTGGTCTACCACTTACCCAAACATGGGCCACAGCCTCAGGCTTGGGAAGCTGTGGGTTTCCCCCCCTTTTTTTCCTAAACTAAATCCCTCACTTCCTGCAGGAAACCGGGGATTATTGCCCCCTCGTCCCATTCCAATGAGGTCTACCCCATCAGGCAGCAAAGCGGGCTCCTGCAGCCATTTCCAGGCCAGGGCCGGCAGAAGGGAGCTTGGGAGAAGCTAGCTCCAGGCCAAGTCATAGCTTCCTGAGGTTCTTACCTGAATCTCCAGCAATGTTTCATCAATAAGTGCTTCTCAAATTGTAGTGTTGCCTTGATTGATTTTCAGTTGATGGAATGGTTAATAGTTTCCAATTTTAACTTTTCTTTGGAGAGGAAACACTCGAACTCTTTACATCACTGGAACAGGAAGTCATTGGTTTTGGAGAGAATTAAATGAGTTGATTTATGTAACCTGCTTAGAAGTACCTAGAATAGTAGCATTACATGAGTTGCTGGTATTACTATAATTATTATTTACTGACCTTCTGTTATGTGTTTTAGGAGTTAGGGATATGGTGGGGGGGAAAAGAGACAATAATTCCTATGCTCATGAAAGAGGGAATGGAAGTTAAGAGCAGGGCTGCAATATTACATAAGGAGGCCAGGAAAAGCCTTACGGAGAAAGTGATAATTTAAGTAAATACATGAAGGAAGTTAGAAGAAGCTGTGGGGAGGTGTGGGAGGTCAGGCTTGCCTGACATGCAGAAATAACAGGAGGCTAACGAAGCTGAGGGAAACAGCCAGTGGGAATAACAGGCAGTGTGATAAACGGGTAACGTGCCACATCATTGGTTTTGGCCAAAGAGAGATAGGTAGCCAAATTTGTAGAATTTTGAAGAAGAAAGATAAAGTGCTCTAAACTGAAGTTTTAAAAGGGTCACTCTGGCTATAGAATGGGAAATATTCTTCTCTTTGGAGGCACAAATGGAACAAGAAGGCCAGAAAGGAGGTTATTGCTCATAACCCAGGAGAAAGATGGATGTTAAACCAGGTGGTGGTGGCGGGGAAGGTGGTGGGGAGCAAAGTATTTCAACTCTGGCTACACAGAGATGGTGGCGTAAGGTGGTATGCATGAGTAGGAAGAGAGAGCAAAAAGAGACCAGCTTCTGGATATATTTTGAAAGCAGGACTGATAGGATTTGTTAGCAGATTAGGTGTAGAGTGTAAAATCAAGACAAGAGTTAAGAAGGATGCCCGGACTTCTGGTTTTCTTACACATTAATTGTGTATATCTAAATTTATATAATTATTTTGCAGAACAAGTTGGCATCTCCAGCAAAGCTGAAGATGTACATGCCATATTTCCCAACGATTTCATGGCTATATTCCCCCCTAGAGAAACTTTTGCTCATGTGCATCAGAAGACATTAGCAAAATGTTCATAGCAGCATTGTTTATGGGTGCAAAATACTTGGGAAAAAAGTAAAATGAATTCATAAACTGTGATGTGTTCATATTATGGAACAGCATACTGCTGTTAGGATAAATGAAATTCAGCATGACACAAACAATGTTGAGCAAAATATGCAAGCTGCTGAAATATAGCAAGATGCCACTTATAGAACATTTTAAAAACTTAGAAGCTAAACAATCGATTTTAGAATACACATATGACAAAACTAAAGAATGATGGAGGAAATATTCAGAATCTAGGAGGAAGACTGAGGGATTTATTTAGGAGTAATATTTTATTTCTTAGGTTGGATGCTAGACACACAAATGTTCATTTTATGATATGGTTTTATCTAATATATATGCTTTATATATGTACATATAATCCATTTGTGTGCATAGAATATTTTATAATAATGAAAAATGTGATTGGCTACATACAAATACATACATGTATTAGTCTTAAATATACTGAGGATGAAAGTTAATGATAATTGCATTGAGATGAAAATAAGCAGATTATATGATGCTTAGAGCTTTGGAATAGTAATTAAATTCTGAAGCTCTGAACAGAATCCCAAATGTTTGGTCATTTTCATATTAGCCCTGAAGCTATATTTCAAGATACCTCAAAAATATCCCACTAATCTTAGAGCAGTAGAAGGTGTGACTGCTTAGGCTCCAAAGGATAAATCTCCTAGGTCATCAGTTATAACAAAAAAACCCCACTTTTTAAAAGAGTAATTTCATTCACCAACTCTTCTATAAAGTATCTGGGAACATCCATCTAAGACTGTTGTATGTAAACATTCCTTTTTGACATGGGACCTTTTCAAAACTAAAAAATGTTTTTTCTCTATCCCAAATAGTTTGCTTTTTAAATTAAATCTTATCCATTTAGAGGAAAATGGTCCCATAATCTAGTCAGTATTCCTCAGGCATTCTTCTAAATCCTGGCCCAATCTCCTTAATAGGCACCTAAGCAAGTAAGAAAAAAACAAACACCCCATTTGCTTATACTGGTGGTGAATAGGTGATAGATGCCTAATTAACAACCAAGGAAATTATATACAGGAAAGAAATGTATACATTATAAAGTGCCATGTAAATATAGCTCATTTTCATTAGTGGCCTCCCATCCTATGTCATGAGCAACATTTGGGTCTGGAGCTGTGATGGGGGAGTTGAGTAGTTTCATGCTAATGAACTGTACAAGAAACGTGTGTTTTAGAGCAGCCCCTGGATGGCAAACACAAATAGCTGTTTATTTCTCAAAGCAAACAAGTTGCTTTTTTAGGCCACCTGAGGGTTTGGTTCACCTTTAGATGCAGGAATTCCAACTTGAATCAGACCCACCAAATCCACCTCAATAGGAACAAAAACTGTAG